CCCCCCAAAAATGTAAAGTTACAAATAAAAAAGAATTACATTTTTTTCTAAAGTCCCCCCCATACATACACGCATGCAAACAGGCGTCGGGTGCGCATACGTGTGAAAACGACGATTTCGCCCATTGCGCCGCACATGTTACATATCGCCGCGAACGTCGGAATGAGAGCAATAATTGTAGGGCTATCAATCACTGATAACACTAAACTGATGAGCGGTAAAACCTTTTAAAGCGTCGCCTAGGGTCAATTTTGGGCATGGTAATTTTTTGCGATTTTGCGGGTGCGCGCAATTTTTAAGCTTGACATGTTTGGTGTCTATTTACCCGACGTGACCCCCCGACTTTTATATTTTACCAAAAATATGGGTGATAAATGGGTGTGGTTACTGGGGGTGTGACCACTAAAGGGTGTGGCCACTGAGGGGTGTGGTCACTGAGGGGCGCTGTAAAGCTTTCTCGCACAGGGCGCCTAAAGGCCTAAGGCCGGCCCTGGAGGAGACAGATTCTATGTAGGAGGAGGAGACACTATATAGTGGGAGGAGACACTCTATATAGTGGGATTAGACACTATGAAGTGGGAGGAGTCACCATACAATAGTAGGACTCTATATAGTGGGTGGAGACAGACTATGTAGTGGGAGGAGACACTCTATAGTGGGAGGAGACAGACTCTATGTAGAGGGAGGAGATAGGCTCTATGTAGAGGGAGGAGACACTATATAGTAGGAGTAGACACTATATAGTAGGAGGAGGCACTATATAGTAGGAGGAGACACTGTATGTAGTGGGAGGAGACACTATGTAGTGGGAGGAGACAGACTATGTAGTGGGAGGAGACAGACTCTGTGTAGTGGGAGGAGACACACTATATAGGGGGAGGAGACACTATATAGTAGGAGGAGACACTCTATGTAGTGCGAGTAGACAGACTCTATATAGTGGGCGGAGACACTCTATATAGTGGGAGGAGACACACTATATAGGGGAGGAGACACTATGTAGTGGGAGGAGACACTATGTAGTGGGAGGAGACACTGTGTAGTGGGAGGAGACACTATGTAGTAGGAGGAGACACTCTATATAGTGGGAGGAGACAGACTATGTAGTGGGAGGAGACAGACTCTGTGTAGTGGGAGGAGACACACTATATAGGGGAGGAGACACTATGTAGTGGGAGGAGACACTGTGTAGTGGGAGGAGACACTATGTAGTGGGCGGAGACACTCTATATAGTGGGCGGAGACAGACAACATCTCTCTCTTTGTTCTCGGCAGATGGTCCTCCTCTGGGAGTGTGAGCAGAACCCGTCCTCCAAGTCTTGGGTGGATTTCGGTTCCTGTTTCCTCCGTCTTGTCCGCAGACTCCTGAAATGTTCCAGACAACACTTCCTGCGCCATTACTTCGTCCGACGCGCCAACCTGCTGAAATATGCCGACGCCAACCAGCTGGACAACCTCGCTGACAAACTGTCCCACTTCCTGCAGAGTCCTTCCCTGAGCATTCACTTCACTGGCCCCTCCTCTACTTGTTAAAGACGGCCCCCGCGGAGCAACGAAGTGGAGGCCTCTACACGGTGAACTTGTGATGACACCCCTCTGAGGAAGGGAGGATACAGTGATACCCTTCCCCTCTCAACTCAGGACATGGAGCCCCCCCCAGGGCAGTATGAGGAGCAGCAGAGAGTCCATGGACTCCTCCAATCTACACCCCCGACTCATTCCAGCGGTCTCTCAGGGTCCTCGGTAGATGGTTTGTTCTTCCATTGCAGGGGGGGGGGGGGGGGCGTGGGGGGTTCAGGAACTT